ACTTTAGTACCAGTCTGCAGCTTTTTAAAAATAAGCACTTAACATAGTTGTAAAATAGTTATTTTACAATAGCTCACTGTGAGAAGGTTCAGTTTTTTAATTTCAGTTTTAAAGATAACAGCATTATATCCAAGAGTTTAAAATATTCATCACAAGGTCACAAAGAGGATCTAGAAGCATCTAAACCCAGAAAGGATGGTCCATCTTCAGGTATTTGACCTACTGGAACCACCATACAGAAGAGTGCGTAGTTCTTGGGGCTGCTGTTTTTGGCCTCTAAGCACTCAGGTCACTTAAATCATTTAACATGAACTGGAGAATCTCTGAGTGAGGCAGGAAGTTTTTTGCACAAGGCAAATGAGCCCTGTTTATGCACAAATTACACGGATTAGAATTACTTGGTTTTCTTTCAGATTTTAAACTTTTGTTTTCCAATTCAACACAATAGTTCAAGTACAGAATAAACTATTTAGTCCATCATTTTACACATTTGCTTGGTACATCAGTGGCCACGTAATTTCCTCTGATTTAAAGAAATACTTTGAAAATATTCCAGTGTTTACTATAAGATTAGCCCTAAAATCTAAAAGAAGTTTCTCGTATGATACAAAATCCCCAGCGCAGGTTTTGGAGTTGTATACCTCCTTTATTAAAGACCAGGGAGAGGTAAGCTTACACAACTTCTGAGATGCTTATTGTACTGGGGCTGAACCAGGCCTGAAACTGAGAAAATGTGTCTCAGTACTGCCTACACTGAAGACTTATTGAGAGTTTCCAACATTTTGCATAGCCTTACCCCTGCACAGTTTCATGGGATAGTTAAAAGTGTCTTGGGAACAAAGGGCTCCCTGGTCTACTCTGAGCAGCAGAGTTCTTTACTCATGGCCTTGACAGAGCATGCACCTCCTAGCTGTCCCCTTACTAGAGCTCTCCACTACACAACTGCAACATTCCCAAGCTGATTCCACAACAGACTCCTTCTTGAAGAGTATTTCGTAGCCAGTGTTCTGAGGAAAGCCATAATCACATACATGCCTTAATACATTATATTTTACAAAAGGGTTCCCATTTCCTGGTCAAATAATCACCTCCCACAGGTTTCAAATGGGTTTTGCTATGTTTGGGCAGGTTTCCCCCAAACGCCCTTGTGTAAAGGCTTAGTCCCCAGGTAGAGCTACTGGAAGGTGGTAGAATCTTTAGGTGGGGCTTAGTGGGAGGTCTTCCAGTTATTGGGGGTTTGGCCTGGAAGGCAACTGTGGGACCCCAGTCTCTTCCTTTCACTCTTTCATCTGCTATTTGTTCCCCTTGCCAAAGGCCCAAAAACATGGGCCGACCAAATACAAACTGAAACCTCCAAAACTGTGAGTCAAAATAAACCTTGATTCTTTTAAAGTTGATTATCTCAGGTATTTTGTTACAGCGATGGAACACTGACTAAAACAATTTTCAAATCACCATTAGTGAGAATTTTAACTTTTTTTCAAAAACATATATTGGTAAAATATGTATGTAAACTTGAATTAAATTTTTTCTTAACATTAACAGACCTACAAAAAATAAATGGTGACTACGGAGGTTGTAAATGCCTTGACCGGGAATATAGTCTATTCTACTCTTCACTGTCAGTTTGGTTGTCCTGGACAGGCTCAAGCTGTTGTGGGCAATAGACAGCCTTGGTAGGGTTACCGCCATGAACCCACAGGGCATGAAATGTATTGTTCCTGCCCAGAATTGAAGCATGATAGTGAAACACAAAGTGAAGGAAAATTTGCCAATCCATGGGTTTTTACACTTGGTGAATGTGTCACACTGAACTCTCCTGGCCTAGCCCTTTGTCCATTCCTCTTAACCGTGCATGCAGGGTCTTCTTTTTAATCTAGGCATAGACTAGTCACAACTCAGTTATTCTGTTGTATGGCATTTTCTTTTTTGTACAAACATCTATATCCTGTTTAAAATTCTTTCCTCTCCTCAGTTATTTTAAGAAACTTCTTTTATTCTTCCTCTTTTTTCCTTCTGTTATTGAAACCAACCTACACTGACTGAAGAGCCCTAAATCATGTCTGAAAAGCACATAAGTTCTAATGGTTAAATGGCCATTAAGGAAACGGGAAGCCATCTATTCTGGGTGAAAAGCCAGCCCAGTAAATTTCAAGCGTGGAGTCCCCTTTATGGTATTTAACACTACTCTGAGAAACTCAGGAAGTCCCTTATTTCTTCTTAAAATACTTTTTTATTATTTAAGAAACAATGGAAATTTTAAAAATACTTTTTCATTACTTATGTATGTCTTATTTATCAAAATATAAAACAGTATATTATTTCCCAGGGACATGAAGAAACAGAGGTCATTACATCCATAGGAAAAAGGGAGTCCCAACTGACCTATGAATGAACCTTTAGAATGTGACAAAGTGTGAGGACCCCATGTATTGGCAAATGTCCCTTCACTTTATTCTTTCCTATCATGCCTCATTTCTGGCCAGGAGCAATAAATTGCACATTTCTTATCAACATCTTTCCTCAAAACCTCTCAATTCTCCATAAAACCTAGATGGACAAAATATAGGTCAATTGACTAAAGCACTGTATATCATCCTTAATTGTAAGCTGCATCAGGGCTATCTTTAATTAGTTGTTATAAAGTAGCATATGCACTTAATATGCAAACAGCCACCAAATCCTAAAGAGAAGACTTGGCACGATTACAGAAGATGAGAAAGGTTAATCGACCTCAGAAAGGTCTCCTCACACAGCTGCACACAGGCTCCAGATCTGTTTCCTTGTCAAAAAGCATGGCCACTGACTGCCATGCCTCATGCAATTACAGCTGGTCAAAGACCTGGGGAAAAAACCTGCTTGGCTTAGTGTCTTTTACCCTGTCACAGAGGAAGAAAATTCATCAACAAAAATAAATGGTAGCAACAAAGATTCATTTCTAAGTCTTTAAAACCTGCCAGTCTGCAGGGGCTACTTCCTTTCTCCTGGTGGGGATACACAGTGAGCACTCCAGGGAGAGCAGGGGAGGCTCCCGCCCCCTCCACCACCAGGAGAAGGCAGAACAAAGGAGAGAGAAAGCTCTCGAAAGGGTTCCAAGTTTTATAGTGAGACTTTATATGCAGTGTCTGACTCTACCACAAAAGTGCTTCTGTAAGTCGAACAGTGAACATTCAGTCTCTATTTCAAAGTTGCAGTACTTCAGATGACAGTGATTTGTATGCATTCGAAGAGACTGATGTGTCTGCAGTTGTAATTAATGACATTTGCCATCCATGATACTAAAGATATTGGCAAACATCTAGGAATTCCTGAGTTGAACTGAAACATAAAGGCTTAAAGTATTCTGCCATTTGTAACACAACCTATATTACTCAAAAAGAAGGAATATTTATTAGTCAGATGTAATTTGACATTTCAGTTAGAGTTCAGTAAGATTCTATCCACTGAAAAACCGATCCAATTCTGTAGCAGTACCTTTTAAAGCACATAAGCAACTAAAAATAAAGTCAGACCTCTTATACAATGTGTAATTTCTTCATTATGATGGAATGCAGCAAAATATCTCGCCCTTGGGTTGCTCAGTTTCAGCCAAAACAAATGCAAATGGCTTGTCAGATGACAGCTGTTTGATAAGGCTCCTCTATAAGACCTGCATGCTTTACTTTTTTCCGTGAAACTTGGGATGAAAGGCAGAAGGCAGGAAGAGAATTAATGTAGCATACAGTCTAAAGGCAATGCTACAACCGTGATTAAGTAGAAAAGTTAAAAGGCACAGATTTTCCACAGCTTCGCTGCGTGCAACCCATCCGTGTAACAAGTTGACAGGCCTAGCGCGTCAGCTCCATCATCCCCTCCGACAGCTAAAACGCAGCATTGCATCCCTTTTCAGAGAAAATTTGCGTCTGCACCATGAAGCGTTGTACATTATTTCTTAGCACTGCAGGGGGCTCAAGTCCATATGGAACCTTCACAAATATTACCACAGATCAAACCAGCAGCGTTGGGAGGCAGATTTGACATACCTATTTAAATGAACAGCAGGGGTCCTCGGGCAGCCTCAGGCTGTGAGGGAGAGAACCTCGGTGGAAGCCAGAGCCACAGCTCCATTACTCAGCAAAGACACACTCTACATTTATCATTCATTTCATTTCTGCCAGGGCAAGAAGCTCATTTGCCCAAGGTCAACAAAAAGCGAAAAGAAGGTTTTCTTTTATTTCCCCAAGAAATAAATGTACCTGACAAGTGGGAATTTTGTCCTTTGGGTTTGTGGAGCACAAATAAACACCAGATAAGTCTAAAAAGCAGAGTAAATGTGTGCATTCATTCAAGCCACTGAGATCTTACTGTGGATGGGGGAAACCCCATAAATATTTCTGTAATTTTTTAAAAAATCATATAATGGGTAAAAAAGAATTCAATATCATGTTCTAAAAATAGAAAAGATTCTGCTGTTTAAAACCGGATATTGGCATTTGGTCATTCTGGGGAATTCTCCCAAATTTGCACACTATCAAACACAGCTTGGAAAACAAAACAAAAACTGTTCACAGTACACTCCAAAGCAGTTGGAAGTTAAAGTATAATAAAAGCATTTCTTAGGTTATTTGAGGACCAGAAATCTTGACTCAAGACACCGTATTAAAGTATGAGAAGCAAAAATTTTAAAGAATAACAGAAACAAAGCAGAAGATAATAGATGCCTTGTGGTCCCTGCCGGCACTGTCCTCTCACCTTACCAGCAAGGCACACACAGGCACTAATATTAAGTTGAATATCTCTGCATTTTAAGGACAAACCATTCTGATATAAGTTTTATAAAGCATACATTTAAGAGAAGTCAAATAATGTGAAATCTTTCATCAGTATACTATCTTGCCTCCAGAAGTCTTATTTTTGCCCATTATGAAGTACTAGGTATGTTCTGAAACTGAGATGCCTCTACTATAATTAGTTTTGTAGCCTACAGTTCATATTACTTGTCATAAATAAAATATACTTACATGCATTAATGAATAATATGACTGTTTGCCAGTATAGAAGAGAAAATGAAATGGACGACCATCTTCTCCCCATTGGATTGCTAAGTAAAAGCCAGATGAAAACAAATTAAAATACACACAGATACTGACCACACGGCTGATATTTAATTGCAATTAGAAGACAGATTTATAATTCTGATTAACTTTTAAAATAACTAACATATTATTAGAACTTAGAATTCATATATTTAGCATACTTATTATGCAAATGCTTAGAGTATTTAATATTTCATTTTATTAACATAAAACTATGCTTATATTTGATAAAATATTTTACCATGAAAATATCTGTAATTTCTTTTAAATAAAAACACAATCAAAAATAGTCCAAATCATAATCATCTGTTAGAACAACAACAACAACAACAAATTGTAGGTTTGAATATAAATACAATGTACTCCTGGGCTAGGGAAGTAGTTCAGTGGTAGAGCGTTTTGCCTAGAATGCACAAGGCCCTGGAAAAGGACCAACACTGCAAAAACAAAACAGAATACAATGCCCTCCTGCTTTCTTCAAAAGGAAAACCGATAGTCAATAATGCAGTATATTCATAGAATTTGAAATGAGCTTTCATATAACAAATTAAAAAACTAAATAACTTAATTTCTGTGCCACATCATTTATTCGAACCCCATGCTTATCTACCTCTGAGAATTTGAAATATCTACAACAGAAGGAACTAAGTTTAATTCCTTTTGCAACGCAGAAAGTCATTCACATCTTCTAACCAACAAACAAAATTTGTTGATTTTTCTCTTTGGCAGTGTTTCTTGGCTATTTTGTTCATTATTGATCCCATAAGGCACCTCTCCAGATGCTTCTGCCCTAACTGCCTCCTTCATTATGACGTTTTATTACCACGGATTCACTGAGTATCTACTGATACATCCAGTGGACTTTTGGAGGGCTAGAAGCCACTGTGATATCTTGGCTTTCTTGCTCTCTGCATGCTGCAAGAGGCTTTGGACTCTCTAAACAATTTTCCTCTGGATTTTTTGTTTGATTTCACATTCAGATATTTGATCTATCTGAAATTTATGTTTTTGAAACAAAAAGCCAAGTATTATTTGTCTATCAAAGAGTCCTTTATCCCTGTACAGTTTTTTGGACAGTATACACTTTTCTGCTGAAATAGTACCTGTAACATGTAGGATCTTTCTTTTCTAAGTATGATTAATATTAGACTGACCACTTTAAGTAAATTCATCTAAAATTGAGTAACCAAAATGTCATAATGAATAGTGGAAAAAAAAAGTCAACTGAGTATTTACATTGAAAGTTAAAAACGTAATTCTTATTTGTCAAAGTCTTATGGATAATTCAAATACTTTTCCAACATCATTTTATAGATCTCATGAAATCTTACATGTTTTCTAATATCTGTATCTTTATTATGCAATGGATTTTCAGTGTACTATGATAAACCAGAAAGTGACAAAAAAAGACAACATCATACAACATTCTATTGCTAAGCCTGGGCAGACGTTTGAGTTGGACTTCATCACGTGTGTATATGGGCGCATGTAAGCACACACACTTGATTTCACAATACACATGGATGCGTATATACACACATACTTAATTTCATTGAACACAAGTTGTCACATATTTTAAGACATCTCATCATATGGTTTTATATACTGCAAAGAAAAAGAAAAATGTTAAATTGCAGCATGTGTCAGAGCTTACATTGAAAACTGCATCCTGTGGTCAGAACCATTATAATTCAAAAAATATATCTTAGAATTCACAATCTGGCATAAACATACACTGGGGCTGACTATTCTACCGTCTTACTGGTTCATCTGTTCTGTGCCACGACCACCATTTTAGTCATCATTTTTTCACTACATTTTGACACCAGATGGAGTGAACTCCCTTTACTTTTCTCATCAAACACTGTTCACTGCTTCTTGTGCCTTTAAACTTGAAAAGTTTCCCCAAAATCCATCCAAGACTTTGGTAATTTGTTAATTTGAAAGTAGGAACTTTGGAATACTGCTTTCCCTTCAGAACATGTAACATTTTTTCCCAACTATCCAGGTTTTTATATATGATCTTTAACTGCTTTATAATTTTTTATATAAATCTTATATATCTTGCACATTTTACCTGTACTTGTAATTAGTTTACCTATTGTTGCTCTTGATACTGCCTTCTTTCATTAGATATCTATAACAGATAAGAGTATATATAATAGATAATCTATAATAAATAATAGATTTCAAAATAGGTAACTTTAATTTCACAAGTAGTACACTGACTGTTCTTATAAAAATTAAACATTAGAATTCTTTGGCCAGAGGCAAGAAGAGAATTGATTGTCCTAGATCCTGTACATACTTATATATGTACAGATGCATGAAGCAGAGTATTATTTGCCCATTAAAAAAAAATTTCCACTACACCATTTTCAATTGCTTTTCAAGCTCAATGTCTCACCTGTGCTAATACAACTATATCTCATTCCTTGTATAACCTATACATATGGCTGCTATGATTCTGACAATTTATTTAGCCACTCCAAGATGAACATCTAGATTGTTTCCAATTTTTTGTTGACACATAATATTTACAGTTTCTAATCTCTTGGGTGATAAAACAGCCTCTTGCTATTGTTTTACAAGACATTATTTCTGTTCTCTGGTATTTTAAAATATTTACTGGTTACTCTTATGAGTTGTTTTCTTTTGCCAATTTTTCTACTCAGATTTTCTTCTTGTTGTTAATTTAAAAGAATAATTTAGATAGCAGGTCTCTGTCATGTTTCAATTTTTCCAGTGTCTTTTTTATCAAAAATAAATTTTTACATTCAAAATAGATAATTTATCTTCTTTGCCCTTTGCTTTTTTGTGTGACTTAAGGGCATATCATAGCATTAAAAAACAATGACGGATACATATTTATCTTCTACTTGCCACTTTATTTCATTCTGTTCTAGAGTCTGAATTTCTTATTTCTAAAAGCACATAAAGACTTTATTAAAGTCTTAACCCAACTCAGGTATCTTCTAGATACAATCTATTTTTTTAACATTCAATTACATGGATTAAAAGGCACACACAGGAATGTGTCTATATGTAAATATATATTTGTATACCTGGGATTCGATTTTTTAAATATATGTAAATGAGATGTGTTTGCTTCCCACTAATAAGTCTTTCACTCACACTAGAGCAACATATTTTCCATACTGTAGTATCTGCCTTTCCCAATATCAAAGGAAAAATCCAAATAATTAGTAAAGAAAAATGTAGGAAATAATACTCCATTTTGTTTTAAATATTTTTAAGGTTTAAAAAGTGGGTGAAGTTTGTAATCCCTATTAGGAAAACATTATCTGAATGAACAACCTAATGGCAAACCACTGTAAAATACTTTAACTGCAATTGCTGCAGAGGAGTAGGGATTATCTTCAAAGCACCCCAGCTCTCCTGATGAGGTCAGAGGCACACTGGCTTGTGTTTTGCAACATCTACCAAGCAATTTCAGTTGCTTTTCCTTCAGCCAGGGTTTTGTCAGGTGGGCATTATGTCGGTGTGCCAAAATACATAAAGTCAGAGAAAGAGGGCAATTCATTTGCTATCAATAAGACCATCAGGTTACCTAGAGCATCATTATACCCCATTCCACACTGATTTCTTTCAGTGTGATTTTGGCCACCATGATGTCATCAACTTGTAGGGTGCTCATGTAAATCCACATGATAGGCATTTCACTCTTTATGTTATATATAGTATAGATAGTATATGCTTTTATATTGTGGCATGCTTTTATAAAAGGGCATCATCAATTTTTTTTCACAAAAATTCAAAATTTTAATGGTTCAATAATGATATTATACTAAAATTCTAATATCAATGTTAGGTTATTTTTGTTTGTTTGTTTTCTCAGTGGGCAATCATAGCATACATGAGTAACAACTGATTTCGCTAATTTCTTTGAGATTTTTTTTATCCATGCTTTTTAAAGTCACACTTGAAGTTAAGACTTCCAAAAGAATATTGGATACAGAGGTGAGTACAGGTTTATCTGTCTTATTATTGAATGTAATGGAATCTAGTAATATGTTTTAAAATTTGATATGTTTCTGTTTCTCACAACAGTCTTTTTCAAAGAAGGTTTCTTTTCATTTCTGGTTTTAACAAAAAAAAAAATATTATTTTTAAATATTATTTTTTAACCAAAAAAAAAAAAAGTTTAATTTGTCAATAGACTTTTTTCCTCTATGAAAATATTTTCCCTTTGACTCAACACAGAGAATCACATTAATAATTTCCTAATGTTAAACTATACTTCTATTCCTAAGAAAAAATATTTTGGTATATTCTATTAGTAAAATGCTTTACTTGGTTTTCTGGTATTTTATCTAGCTTCCTTTTTATATAATTTGTGTTCAAATTTATAATTACATGAACTTTAAAGTGAATTTGGAAGCTTTTTTTCCTGCTCTGTAATAATTTACACAATAAAGAGCTACCCGCTCCTTTGAGGTATGGTAGAACTCTCCAATGAGACCTTCAGAGCCTCTACTTCTTTTGTTAGACTTCTGATGACCTCTGACTTCTCCTGACTTTTAGTGTCACCAGCATCTTCCTGATTAAGGCAACTGTAGCAATTATACTAGTCTCCAGGCCACCTGAGTGGAGGAGGGTAGTAGTCACACATTTATACCCTGGAGTCACCACCACCTGGGCCTACCTACAAGTAGGCCACTTCCTGATTCTGTGTCCTTGGGAAGTTCATTTAATGTATTTTAATTTCTACATCTAAAAAGTAGGGAAATAATAGTATGTGTTTATAAAACTGCTGTCAAGGCTTTGAGTTAATTCACGTCAAGCACTTCAAACTATGCCTGGCTTACTCTAAATTTCAGTAAATGCTACTAGCTATTGCTATTATTTAGAAGATTTTTTCATATAACTAGAAGTTATAAGAAGTTACTTATAACAATCTTATATTTTAAAAATATCCCCTGAATGTTATTACTTAAAATTTTTAATACTGGCCTGGAGATATAGCTCAGTGGTACAGCATTTGCCTAGCATGCATGAAGCCCTGGGTTTAATTCCCAGCACTGCAACAACAAAAAATACTGTTCTCTTATGTTTTGTTTCTTTCCTGTTCAGATTTGCCAGTAATTGGTTGATTTCATTGATTTTTTTTCAAAGAACTATTTGGTTTTATTTATTATAAATCTTCTTTTAAATTTCTTCATTATGTTCATCCATTTAGTTTTTCTCTTATTGGCTTCCTGAATTGAATACTTAGTTCATTTATTTTCAGTCTCTCTTAATTACTAATAATATATGTTTGTCTCTGCATGATAAAGTCTACATCCCATAGGATTGGACAGGAACTATTCTCATTGTCATGTATTCCTAAATAGTCTACAATTTCAATTTTCATTTGGTCTAACCCAACAGCGATACAGTTTTATTGATTTTTAAGTCAAAAAATCTAACTGATACGATTTCTACTTTTTGGATTTTGTTAGAGTTTCCTATGACCCAATACATTAGAATTTTATTAATATTTCATAGGCATCTGCATAGAAAATGTATTCTTTGTATTTCTATCTGTAGCTATAAAATCATGCTACGTTTTCAAATTCTTTATAGCCTTAGTTAACAGCTTTTGCTTTACAACATTTCAGTGTTAAATGTTTGGTGCAAAAATGTTCATGGTCGTCAAATCTACTTAATGGATAATAGGTTTTTATCAATATAAATTAACATTCTAGTCTCAATAAACCACTCCTCACCCTCCTTGAATACCATATTGTCTAATATTATTTCTGCCATCAACCTGTTATACATCTTCATTTTCCCAATATTCTTAGCACTTGTTAAGCAGAATTTCTATGCTAACTTTATCCAGAAATTTCTGTCTTTTAATAAGGGAAGGGGTAGTACACTGTAAGTGCTATTATCTATCCAAATCTAAAGTTCAGTTATTTTTTTAAACTACACACACACACAAAAATCAGTTTCACCTATATTTACAAAGTATGACAAAATAAGGAGGTAGGGAGGTAAGCATCAAACTACCTCGCTAATCCTAAAGAAGTACTACTTAAATACAGTTAACTGAAATGCAAAATAATCCTACCAGCTCTGATGTATTTTCAAAATAACACATGGGTACCTTGAAAGGATACACAGAAGTTTCAGTTGTTACATTCCAGCTGCCAGTAACAATGAACTTCTAATACTGAAAAGCTGACACAATTTGAAGGAACAAAGGAAATTCAGGAGGAGAGATGTATTAGGAAAGACACAACCAGTAGAGGTATGTAGAACAAAGAAGAGGCATTGGTGGGGAGCCTGAGAGGTTGAAAAATTGAGGAGCCAGTATAAAAAAAAAAAAAAGGCAGGGGAAGTCACTTTTACAGACATTTATGGAAAAGCCACTGGGTGTAAATTACTATGCCTTGTGCATAAGGTTATATTATAAAACTGAGCTGTACCTTTAAAATTGGTGGATGCTTTTACTATAGCCTTCATTTATTTCCTCAAAAGAGATTATTAAATTGATACTATATATAAAATCAATCATGTTTGAGAATTGAATAGGAAAGACAGAACATATTTATAAAAAGATTTGAAATATTTGTAAAAAGGAAGAAAGTAAAGCAATTTCAAAGAGTGAAGTAAAGCAGAACAGAAAGCCTAGTTCTGAAGATGTAAGACTTAGCAGAAACATAACATAAAACAAATTTTCTATAGAAATGCCTCCTCTCTTACCAACTTCCGTTTAATTAACACTAAACATATCGACTAATGCTGCCTTGGAATTGCGCACTCAGCGGGTGGCTCCCAGGCCCTTCTCTGTTACCTCCACACATTTCTGCTGTCGAGTTACATGCTTACTAAGAGTCAGTTGTGTTTATCCCCAAACCATTTATTACAGCTGCACTTATTTCTATAATTACTGTACATGAATTAAATATTACATAAACAGACAAACTATGAGTACAAACTGAAAATATAGTAGCTGCTTCTGTGAAAACTAGTTGAATGCTTTAGAAAGGCTCAACGGCAAGTTGAAAAAAAATGTTGTGTTGGACTTTAATGTGGCTTAAAGGAAAAATTTGTGGAAATATAGATATATGCTGCACTGGGATTTCTTAGGAAGTTTTTTTCTTTTATTCCATTGTAAGGAAATCAAAATTGAAAAATGGTGATGGTACATAAGTGGCACAGATATTCAAAAGGAACAGAGAGGAACACATACATACTCAAAAAATCTTCCAGGAATATACATCAAGAGACTGATGAATAAACGTGTTGATATTTTGAATATTTTTTAAATAAGTCATTTGTAGCATTAATACTCACTTTTAAATTAACAAGTACCACCAGTCTATGCTGGATAAGAGACCTTTAATGGATAGTAAATATACTATTCAATTCCCAGACAATCTTAAAGCTTCTTGTGCTTTAAAGATTTTTGTTTAAACATATTTAAAAGAGAAAAATCTTAAAAGAAGCCACAGAAAAGAGGGGACATGATAGGAATGATGGCTAACTGCTGATCAGAAACAAGCCAAGACAAGGCAATGAAATTACACCATTAAAGTGCTGAAAGATAAAATATATTTAGTGAAAATGTGCTTCCAAAATGAAGAAAAGGGTTGGGGATGTAGCTCAGTGGTAGTGTGCTTGTCTAGCATGTGTGAGGCCCTGGGTTCTATCCCCAGTACTGAAAATAAAAAAAAAAAGAAAGGAGAAAGAGAAGAAGAACTAGAAAGGCTTCATATAAACAAAAGTTAAATGAGTTTTTAGGAGATCTGTATCACACTTTCCTCAAAAAGGCATATTAAAATACAAATAACTAGTGTGACATTAGTATAGGCTTAAACTCTAACCTGGTCTAATTTTAATATCATTTAATAAAAAGAAATAATTTGCAAACCCCAGTCATTCATTATCAGTTACAAAATATGTTGTACCCTCTTTCATGACTACCAAGGCAAAGAAGGACTACTCTACAATACATGAATAACTGCTGACATTTTTTATTACCCAACATTCTTTATTACCCAACACTGTAATAAAGAAAGAAATAATTTTATTCTTGAGCAAACTTACCTCTTTGCTTTGGAAAAATCTGTTCAGGATGCTAGAAAATAAATTAAAAGTGTATTAGATAATTACTGTAACATAAAAAAATTAAATCAAATTTTTTTAAAAATTAAGATAACTACCTTCATTATTGGCCTGGCTCGCTTCTCAAACAAACCACTTGGAAATAGGTAGACAATAGCTCTCTGAAAGTAACAAACAAAGGTTAGTTAACAACTGTTATAAAAATCAAGTTGACCTTATAACTAATAGCTATTGAGGGCTGGGATTGTAGCTCAGTGGTAGAATACTTGCCTAGCACGTGTGAGGTACTTGGTTCGAATCTCAGCACCACATATAAATAAATCAATCAAAGGTCCATCAACAACTAAAAAAACACTAATAGCTATTGATTTCTCACTATAAGCCAATCATTGGACTAGAGTTCCATTTGCATTCTTGTTGCATAATTTTTTGAATGGGCTAATAAAATTACTATATACCCATTATAACTATTATACTGGTTATTGACAATTTTCAAATAATAGCTTCAAATTTAACCCCCTGAATGTGAGAGCACAAATCCTTCATTTGTAAAGGAAAATTAGAGATGCTCTTCTATAACTTCTGTCGTAATATACTCAAGGGCAATCATTCCAAATCCCAGCGATCACGCAAATAGCAAAGACTAGGCTCTAAGTCTCATTCACCATGACCCCTCAAATATAATTTCCCAGCATAAGGAACTCAATCTTGCAGAAACGGCTGGTTGCAGGCCCATGGCAAGGTACAAAATAAGCATGAGACATGTTCCTGTTCAGAAAATAAAAAAGTGCTCAAAAGGACACAGGAGTCAGCTGCAGTAGGCTCCCAATGGCCAAAGGTGGGATAATTTGAACATTAAAAATTAAAAAAAAAGGACAATGCCTCGTAACACATTTGATATGTAGGTGTTTATACATTTAAGTCTGGGTGCACGGGTGCACGCACACACACAGGGAAAAAAAGAAAACTGCTTTATAAAACAATAACACTAAAAGTAGAAGGAATGACAAAAGTAGAAAAATCAACATTTTAAAACTTTCAAGTTAGTCTTCCATCTCAGGAAAGGATCATCAGATGTTAAAGTCCTGGCTGAAAATTTACTGGGAAATAGAAAATTCACAAAGACTCAAAATATCACCCTACAGATTACTTACTAGTTACAAAGGGAAAAAGCTACTTTTACAAGCGATTGAGTGGTAACCATCTTAATTAACCAAGAAATCAGTCATACCATCATCAACAGGGGGGATAAACAGATCACAAAAACTCTGGGGTGATGCAATGAGAAGCAGATGTCACTTACATAGTCTAAATAGTACTCTCTGCCCATTCTAAGTCTGATCATGAGAAGAAGCAATGAGAAGACCAGAATGCAGAACAGTTTTACAAAACAAGAGGTCTAGGTTATAAAAACAACTAGATGGCTGTAAAGATGTTTTAGGGGTAAAGTGGGGAAATTTAAACATATACTATATAAAACATCACAGAATTGTCATGATTACATGAGATGTGATGTTACTATCAGATGATGAAGTCTTTAGGGGTTATAAATATATGCTGATGCATTTACAGGTTAAGTTTAAATCTGAAATTTTCAATGGATTACTCAAAAAGAATTTTACATGTACAGAAAAAGGAAATACAGCAAAACGTTAACTGACAAATCCATGTGAAGGGCACACGCTCATCTACATGTTTGCAGTCACTGAAATATTAAAATTTCCCGGACACTGAAAAGTTTCAAAATAGAAAGGTGGAAAGATGTTAAAATTTAAAAAAATGTGCAAGACCTTCCCAAAGGCAACCCAGCCTAGAGCACCTATGGACCACATCGCTAGTCTCGGAGCTTGTTCTCACAGTTTCATACAGCAGCTGCGAGGTGGTCAGCATCTTGGCCAAAAGGCTGCTGACTCCAAGGCTTGGATCAGAATAGCATACTGCACAGAAGACTAAGCACAACTGATGGTAAACTCACAAAAATCACAAGTAAGACACGCCAACTGATTCTCAAATGAGGATCAAACTGTCACTGGCATCAGCTTGAAAAATGAAAATTACTATTAACTTAGGTGGTCCACTGACTAAAATCCTAGAGTTTAATGAAAATTTAAGAATTCCATCCCATAGTTGAATTTCTCATTTCTCATTCTCATAGTTGAATTTCTCATTTCTCAGAAAAGGCATGAGGAAGCTGATTGGTAGAATCTGAATGTTAACTATGTAGTGCAAACAATATTGAGGACTCACAGCAATCTGTCTTAAAAAAAATGAAAATAAGACCACAAAGAATTTGCTGAACATATTCTGAAATTAACTGAAAGAATCAGGAAAGGTGGCTTTGCCTTAAAAAAAAAAAGTCAGCTAAAAGTAAATTAACATATCTTTATTAATTTAAAATCCTTCACCATATTATGCACTGCAGTACAAGGTATTGTATCAAATACTGTGGAAAAGCATTAGATATGACAGATATATAAAAAGCAATCACAAATGCAGTAAAAAGAATGAAAAACCAAGGATGAAAGTAAAAGGAATGAAGAAACGGAAAATAAAATAAACAAGCTGTTTGTAAACCAGATAACAAAACGTACAAAATAGAAAGGATGAATTCCAACATGCCACCTGTCGTTTGTTCAGTGTATGCGTGGACTAATACTAACATAACTGACCTATTACTTCCATTTGTCTCCTTTGTGCATTCCACAGTTCTGCAAACTCTAAAGTAATGCACTACCTGACTTTAATAAAAAGATAATTTTTGTTACCTTCTGGGTCCACTTAACTTCCTGCTAACACAGTTGTTAAAATGCAAAAAAGATTGATTCCCTTTTGAAATAAATAGTAAATGTATAAAGAACAAAAAAATTTTGAATGTGAATATTGAGTTGAACAGCTTTCAGATATATTTTGAGGCCAAGTATTATGAACTATAATAGGCAAATCTTTACTTTCACTACATTGCAGAATTCAGAAGGGTGGTGAATAAGAGAATAGAAGATTAAATAAAAATCTAATTTTTATTGTGTCTTATTATAACCATGCTTTCAAATACAACCACTCCTAGTGGTTTTGTTTATAAGGAGATCAACATTTATCTGCTTGTCATAGGGACTAAATGATTAAGTAAGATATTTATAAAAGCACAACACAAAGCAGGCTTTTGATAAATGTTAATAAACAAGCATTTTTAGTTTACATAAAGTACATTATTCACCATATTAAGACTTAAAATAAAAGTCATGTACTCACAGCTTTGTTCTACAGATGAAAAAGCAGCTTAACAGTTAGTCCAAAATCACACTGAAATAAATGGCAAGGCCAAAACTTGAACTTTCCAAATTTAATTTTGGAATGTGCTCTTCTCTCATCAAGGAATCAATCTAATTTTCTTAGATAACAGATGTACTTTTTCACTGACGTCAAGGACATTCAGCTATTTGGTAGTAAAATAATTAAAAAAAAAAAAAACTCCTAAAGAAATTATTTTATTCAACAAATTAACTCCACCTGAATTCTAGGCGCTCTGCTAGTTTAGTTTAGAACAAGATACGGCTCCCAACCTCATTCTACCATCGGAGATGACATACACATAATCTCAAAAACAGGGTTTACTGTAATATAATACATAAAATATTATGGCATAATAAAATACATAGGACTTGTGACAGAACCATATCCAGGCTACACAAGAGGGTACAAAGAAGGGGGCCTCAGTTACCTGTTTCAGTGATACTCTCATTCCTTTTTAATCAGCCAGTTCTTCCTTTCTAGACACCTGGCACATCATCATTCTCCTTGTCATTTTATACAGTCACATTTGTCTTTGCAGACCTAGATCAAAAGCAGCCTCACCTGTCAAGCCTGGGCCCTCAGTTACTTCTCTGTGCTCACATATGACTCTGCCATGTCAGCCAGCACCATCCTCTTTGAAGGCCCACACCATCTGGCCATGCCATCCTCTCCCCAAGCTGCCCTGGCCTTCAATTTCCGCATTACTTATTTCAGTTACAAAGGGCTAATGCTCCCATTTGCTCCTTTCAGTACCTATGGCTGCCATATTTGTCAGTGACCTCAAATAACGTTCATGTGAACAAGTCATCTAATATTTCTATTCTTAGGAGCATCCACCCACTCCCTGAACTACCCCTTTATCCACAGACTTCAATTTAGCCTCACACTAACTCCAGTCCAGCAACTGGTTTCTCATGGTCACCAAGGCCTCTTTCAAATCCCACAACCTACTTTCAGGTCTCTTCATGTGAGGTTTCTGTCTCCTCTCTCCCTTGCAGTCATGTTTCCCACCCACCTGCCTGAAAACTCTTTCTTAATCTCTTCTAAACAGAACTCTGGTCTCACAATTACTGGTTCCCTCAGAGTTCCATCTTTGAGTCTCTTTCTCTCAAGCAGATAGAGGTCAAATCTATTTCCCAAGCTCCAATTTCCAACTGTCAACTGCCTTTAGTATTATTTAAAGTTTTATCAATTTTAAAATTTCGATTTACTCTCTTATAGTATTGTGAAATGTTTTCAAAACTACTCTTCAGATATTTTGGATTGTTTCAATGAAAGATAATATAAAAACAAAACAGTAGACCAATATTGCTTATACTTCCAAGTATTCTATTTCTCTTAAATAATACAAGACAAATATACAAATTCTTATTTGGGAAGAAATGAAGGAGCAACATTCTAGCCAACAGAGTCCAACAGAACTTTCTCTAGTGATGAACATATTTTCTAATCTGTGCTGTACAATGATAGCCAGTAGCCCATGTGGCTTACTGTGCACATATATGGCCAGTATAATTGAAAGAATAAAATTTCAATTTAATAATAAATTAAAATAATCGCACATAGCTAATGACAACCACAAAGTTCTAGACTGTTAACAAGTTTTCCTCTCAATTTGCCTTTTTTCTTTTTAATATTTCTTTAGTTGTTGATTGATTCTATTTATTTATCTATTTAATGTCTATTTATCTATCTATCTATCTATCTATCTATCTATCTATATATATATATATATATTTATACGTGGTGCTGGGAATCGAAACCAGTGCCTCACACATGCCAGGCAAGTGCTCTATCGCTAAGCCACAGCCCTAGCCCCTCAATTTACCTTCTTACCCTACAATAAATATTAGGATTTTGCCTTCCTAAC